GGATTCGCCAATTCTGTTGAGCTTAGAGGGGGTGGAGGAATGTTTGGGGGAATCCAATGAGAACGCTGTGGTAATTTTGGGAGAACAAATTTAAATGCATAGGGTGTTATTGCCGATGGGCTCGCAGAGTGCATTGTAATAGGAGGGGGTGGAAGAGAGTATGGAGAGAGGTATAAATAGGTGGCTTGCGCTTCAGCAAAGCTAATTAAAGGTCTTCCAGGAGAAAAGCCTTAGCACACCGCCTGCACAATGGGGAAATGTAGCTTGTACAGAATAATTCACCATCACATGCACAATGATGCTAACTGTGTCCATATGGCCGTTAACACTAGATACAAGCTACGAAATAAGGAGACAACGGTCATGATTCCAAAGTTCAATACGCGAGACAGGGAGCGTTTCTTCTTAATACACTACTCAAAGCTTTGGAACAAACTTCCAAGAGCTATCAGAACTTGTTGCACATTGCGTTTGTTTAAGCTTTCGATAAAAGATTATTTAACCGTTCAAAATGTGATAATAATGTTTCGAACAGCACAGTCCTTAGATAACGCTTTTGAGAACGGAGTTAATGGTGCCTGAAAATGTATGTGCTCAAGTGCACAAGTGGTTATATTTTGTTGGCCCGCAGCACTTTATTCTCTTTTTTTTCTCGTGTGCGATCAACTCTCATGTGACTGCTAAAAACTTGTCAGACGATAGAACAAGAGGAATGTAAATACTTTGGACCGCTTCGCGCTACACAAATTTTCATTTTGTGCTCACATTTTTTTAAATTTATTATACCATGATATGATACTGTTGTACCATTATTTGATCTGTCCCTTCTGGGAGCGGCTTCTCGCATCGTCTAGCCATATACAATTTATTTATTTATTTATTTGTTTATTTATTTATATGGAGGAGCATTCTTACTCACGAATGTCACAGGGAAACAGGGAGTCGCCTTTCTATTATGGAGGCCCCTCTCTGAACTAACACCTTTTGGGTGTGGGCCATGGCCACGGCCGCTATTTGTTGCCATAATTCCAGTGAACAGTAATGCACTTTCAGTGTAGCTGGCGACAGTCCCACCTGATGTTTTTGGACTTGTATCATTTTCAAGTGTGATATGGGGACTGATACCAATCACTACTGATTCGTTAGGACGTCGTTCAATGAGTGCATCTGCACCACATCCTATTGATGGGACTGTGTAAGCACAAAAACCATACGGATTTACATGGCGAAGCACGCGGCTGCCTTGCGCGAGCGAACAGAACAGTTGCTTGGACGCCTACACTTATTCCGCCTACGCGCTGATTGGTTCTTATTTGGCTACGCTGTAACGTGTTTAACTGATTCAAAGGAAACATCTCATGAATGTAGAAGCGTCGTTAGTTATGGAAATGACCCAGATATTTACATCGACGTTTCTACACGCTTATTATGTTGTCATTTTCGCAGAGCTTACTTTGTCGAATAAACCGTTTGTCCCTGAAGGACCAAGTTTTGCTACACTTCCTATGTCCACAAAACTGATATCGTGTAGTGGCGTGAGCATCTGTACTTCCTCTACGCTGTAGCCTCCATTGCCATTATTGCGTGGAGAATGGCCTTGCCTACATTATCTACATTATTAAAGGGGGAGATCCAAGCTCTGTTCAATGACATCCTTCTTGGTAGTCCAGGAGGCGCGAAAAGGGGTGACTGCTTCGGCTTAGACAAAACATTAGTATTACTCGTGTGTTGAATTTCAGGTTGCAACCTCTCTTTACGTATATTAACGTTGCTAAATTTTGGAACAGATCTCAATGTCTTTTGGCTTTTAGTAAGCGTACTTGCGGGACTTTCATCAGAAAAGCTGGACGGATCCGGGCAAGGGAAAGGTAAAAATAATTTTCCTCAATCTTTCACTATTAATATCGGTCTCAACAATGTTGCACGCTCTCGAAACTACATACCTAATGTTGTCGATCGGGATCATCTATGCTGAGAGTGATGGCATTTTTTCCTCTTTTGCATCTGCGTAACCTCAGAGTCGACTACATTGAGGAATTTTAATGCCCCAAGTTTGTGCTTTGGCTCTGAACTAGCCGGAGCCTGAATTATGTAAGAAACTGGCATAAGGATGTCCCCAAATGAGTCAATCAACTTTAGTTTCTCATTTCGTTCGGCTAACTTTTTCTCTAACGTTTTTCTTCTGGCTGACAGGGAAGATGTGAGGTGGACAACACTAACTGATCTCTGTCATTGGTCTTTTTGACTCATTTACCTGCTCTTGTATCCCAGACAGCACGGAATGTGTGCAACAGAGCACAGGTTCCTCGGCACCCGTTGTGACCGCAACTATATTGCTTATCGTAGTTACCTGGTTGCCAGCACTCTATTTCCTCATTACACGAGTGTTAATAGCATCATTTGTCACGTGGCTATCTATTATGGGTTACAGCCCAGCGCAATTTTTAAGGTAACATAGATGGTTAAGGTCGAGGGACTATCAAGTTTCCATAAATAGGGCCGGTTAGTCAGCTAACAAATCAGAGCGCCGCGTCAAATTGGCGACTAACTTCACGGTCTGGACGGAGTGGTGCTAGGGCCCTGTCATGTGTCGGTGATGAATCGCGGCCTGACGCCGGTCTGTGCAAGCTTGGACGCGACTTATAGCTAAGGCGGCAACTGTCGCGTGGAGTGGGTAGGTCCGATGCAAATTGTGGGTTGCTCCGAAGCGGACTTGCGGACAGTACGCTTGTGGCCGTGAGGGTAGGGGCAGTTTAGTTCCAATAATTGCCTTGCAAAGCGAGATACTAGACTGATGGAGAGCAATTTAGAAAGCTGTACAACGTCTTTCACTTGGCACAAAAATCCTGCTTGTTATTCTCGTAACCACTGAATTTGCAGGATTGACATCTAGCACGAACAGTCTCAAAAGTGCCAATCGGCAATGGATAAAGATCCTGTAAAAGGTACATCCAAAAGACTGGAGGCGTTAAAGAGATCTCATACTATCCAATCGAGTAAGCATTGGCGTCGAATTATAGAGTGCCAATTGATACTGAAAGTTGATGCCAAGTCGCCAAGTCAGTGACGCTCATTGCATTCGTTTGCTAATTTCCTAATCTCGACTGTGCTATTATGCGATATTATTTCTTGTCCATTTACTGTGAACTGTCACTATTTTTATTAATAACATCTTAGCGACCAAGCTAGCTGGGTCCACCTTGATTCCGTGCACCAATCTCAATCGGCAAACTGAACTGAACTCCAGGGTTGGTTATTTCCCGAAACCGTCGGATTTCATACTTACTTCACAGGAGCTTGTTACATAACCCGTAACACCCTGGTGTCTCCCACCTTGACATACCCTGATTTGGTAGTTCAATCACACATATACATGGGACACAAAACTAACTTGTGAGAAAGACTTATTACATATGCTCCGTTCGTTGATTTGTACACTGTTAATCAGTCTTCAAGACTGTCACCCACAGGGGTATGTGAAACATTCACTTCTCTGTCCGAAATATAGCACAGTTTTAGGGCTTCACTGATGAATCGCACTGCAAGCATTAGTATTTTCGAGATTTGTACTAGGTACGTCGGAACAAAATCGCCCAAATTAATACCCATAGGGTGGTGTACAGTAGCTCGGTAAGAATCATTTCGCCGTGTTCTCAAATGTTCCGAACCATTGGTGTTCTTCATCCCTGGATACCCGGCCTTGAAGACGCAGGGGACAGAACAGAGATAAACTGGAACTCGACGTCTTGACGTTCACTGCCATGTGGTGTGCTGACCGCGCTGTTTCTTTGTACGTTGTCCTGTAGGGATGATTAAAAATCGACATGGTGGCCACGGACAGGGCATGAGTGGGAGGTGACCAAGCCACCTCAATTAATCCAATGTAACGATCTCTTTGAGAGGGAAACATTCATCGCCTAAGCACTATGTATGACCTCGTCCTCGCAAAAGTGGTGTTCCCACCCCACACGAACCATTCTCCTCAAACACCTGTTACTAAGGACTGCAAATCGATGCAGAGCATTCACAGGAATCTGTTAGACTCGCTTACACACGGCAGCGTCCCGCGAAAATAGGAATTAAGGCGTTTGCTTTTTACCACTAGTAGTACGTCCCGATGACGCCACAGATACCTGAGATTGTAAAACTCTAACCGGGCTTTGGTAGTGCTAAGAGAAGTCTCCTTTCTAATGGTGCTATCGGCAGAAACGCAGTTTTCGAAGTGGCCAAAGCTAACCAGTTGTTCATGCTTCGTAATGTGGCAAGTGAATACCATCCCTAGAGTACAAATATGCATTTGGAGGGAGGGGAACAACCATCATGTTATACTTAGATTCTTTAACCACTAAGCGGTTTAAAATGAGCTACATGCCCTATTGCTGCATATGCTCCCATACTGGTGTATAGAGCTTGACTACGGGTCATCATCAACCAAAAAGATATAATCAGCATAGTCCGTCATCGCGTAGATCATTCATTTCCGACAAGTGCCATAATTCTGTCGATTGTGAGGAAAGATTAGTTAAAATCTTTTATCGCCTACCGCGAACACCGTACAACGGAATCACCGAGATATGATACAGATAATGCACACCCATTTCGGACGCTAGATTGATCCGTCACTTCCCAGGTTTCATATTTCTGTTTGCGGTGAAACCTCATTCGCAGCTGTAGTAGTAGTAGGGCTTGTGGATTCAGGTGAAACTATCAATGATATTGTTTGCTGTACTAGTAGCGCAGGGGAAACAACCGGCCCAAATGATGATCTGTCATATGAAAAGCTTCCGAAGCAACACCTACATCCATCCACCTCTTTTCCCCTTTTACTATGCGCCGGTGGCAAAGTGGAAATCCACTGTGAAATGCCGTTTGCTTTATCCATCGGAAGCCATGCTTTGTCAGTTTAGGTCCAAGCTGAATGTGTTACTTCGCGTAACACATCCAACTTACTCCCAAATCACTGTGACTTCTGTTGCGTTTCAGTAAGAGAGAAAACCGAGTGATGAATTAAAAACATATAATAACCATATCCGAATGTAAGGATCATTATTTTTGAGACAACACATCGAAGAAACAAAATCCGCTATACTGATGGACTCGTTTTGATGAACTCGATTGGGTGGTACATGTGGAGTTCCGTTTTGCTTTATTATTTCGTCATATTAGCCGCAACCCATTTGCTCGACAATTACAGCGGCAGCGGAGCGAACGATTACATGATGTCTGCCTCGACTTACCGGTGTACGACGCACCTTGTTCGAATTCGGGCTGACCGCCGAGACATGGTGCGTGGCAAAGTACCGGATCATGACTTGCCCTATACATGGCAGATGTGTGAAGTCGTTGTTGCCGTTTAATCCCCAGGGATTTCTTAGTTTTGGCACAGGAGGAAACTAATGCGCGGTGGATATGTGGGTTATGCACTCCGCTGGGGCGTTCGCACCTCCAGCTGCACTGACATACACTTTTTGGTGAACTTTTGCAAGAACATCCTGCACCAGGGAGATAATGTTTTGTTCGGCTGCGGCAGGTACAAATCATAAATGAGGGGGCAGCTCGACACTCGTCATTTAGTACGCTGTCCTCCATATCAGGTGTACACCATGTTTTACCACCGTAAAAAAGGCTCCTTCGTTCCCAATTCACCTGCGACGGTAGGGCATCATCCTGTGTTCCTCGCTTTGTACAAGGTCGCGAGAATCTCACACGAACGGAGCTACGTTGTGTCCGAATCGCCATTCCTGAATCCGGCAATGTTAAGCTCAGATGAGGCATTTTGTTCACTTGGCAGTGCGATTCGTCTGCATTTCCCCGCCTCCGTTTGATAGAAGCCACTTTCGGGTGTAATGTACGCTGTTCCACAATGTTCCCCGAGAAACCAAACACAGTATCTTGTAACTGCGGACTTGGTAATCGCTCCGATTTTGCGATCGATGCAACCACAATGCTTGACATTTTACCAGCTGGCCGCCCAATGGTCATACGTAACGATCCAGCCGAGTCCAGCCGGGTCAACCGAAAGGTGTAGGAAGAATATTGGGAAGTGCACATCAAATCAGAAGGCAACGGATATGCAGAATGAAATGTGCCAAATAAAAACCACTCAAGTGTTTTTGCGTCTTTCGATTCATTTGGACTGTACAGAGCAGCTGAAGAGGCTATAAGCTCCTCATCGTCAATCTCATCTTCAGTGAGGATTGCAGTAAGCCGATGAGCACGTGTCGTAGATAATCCTGCGCGCGCTGCGGAAGTTGTCAGATCGGTCATTTCAAAGAGTCCCACATATTCCAAGACCCCAGTCTGGAAGGACAAAGCCCGAGGAGGATAATACGCAATGGATTCAACTTTGGTTGCAAGTGTACTGTTCGGTTCATTAACCGTTTTCGAATCAACTTGTGCAGCTCCAACAACAGTGAATTCGGAGGCTATGAACGAAAACAGTGAAGGGACATCCTGTCCAGTTGACGGGCCGGAGGAATAGGAATAATAATAATAGGACGCAGAAGATGGGTCATCTGGATGACATGCAGGCTCACACGAATGGATTACCTTCTCCTTAGGAACACTGGCTGTGGATACAGGAATGGAACCAGACATCTCAGTAAAGTCTCGCGGAATAGCATTAGTTGCAAAGGAAGGAGGAGATTCAGGAAGCGAACATGACAAACGAGTTGGAGATCGACGTAAAGCAGCCGCCTCCTCACCAAGTAGAGAAACACAGCAGAAACAAGACACAGGAGTAGGAACATTGGGTAAAACTTGGGAAGAAATCAAACCACGAGAGGCAGCAGAAAAGTCATGAGATGCAGGAAAATAACAATTCAAAACTCGGTCACTAAAACTAAGTGCGCATAAAGAAGCAGAGGAGCGCATATCATTTCCATTCAGAATTGACGAAACAGCAGCGAAAAACACAGGTTTAATCAAACTAAGTTTCGCAAAGAGCCACGGGTTCTCAGGGTTAGAGATGGATCCAGGAAGGAGCTGGGTGGCGACGCAAGTGTTCGACATGCGAGTCGGAAGCTGGGCTTCCAAGTACGTGGTGGGGACTGTTGCTTTTAAGACTGGCGTCCGTTGAATGTGTGTCGAGTAGGTGTGTGTTTGGACAGCAGGGGATATGAGTGAGGTGCTGACGACCGCAGGCCGTTCAGCACTGGAATCCGAATGTGTGGGAGTGATTGTGTCTGCTCGTTGCTCGTGCATATCGCGTGCGTTTCGTCGATCGTATGCGAGCTGCGGCTGGATTTGTGTGTCGGTGCTTGTTTTCGAGTTGCGTTTCATTTCGTCGTTGGTAGCAGTTATGGCATGGGGCATGTTGTGCTCAGTGAGTTCGATGGTGTTCGGGAAAATGGGTGTCGGATACTCATGTTCGTGTTTGTGTTTAGAGGGCCTGTGAGTGTGCAGTCTGTCGAGCGCTTGTGCACGTGCGTCCGATGTATTACCGTCGGTGTTCGTGTACTTGCGGATGTCGCCGGTCAGGTGTTCTTCGTTCGCTCGACTGCAAGTGTATGACGTCTGGCGCGATGACCTCGGGCTGGCCGGAAGCTGGGCTTCCAAGAGCGTGTTGGAATCAGTTTGTTTTGAGACTTCCGGCCGTTGCATGTATGTCGAGTGGGTGTGTGTTTGGACAGCAGGGGATATGCGTGAGGCACTGACCACTGCAGGCCGTTCAGCACTGGAATCCGAATGTGTGGGAGTGATTGTGTGTGTTTCTTGTTCGTGCACATCGCGTGCGTTTATTCGATCGTATGCGGGCTGCGGCTGGATTTGTGTGTCGGTGCTTGTTTTCGAGTTGCGTTTCATTTCGTCGTTGGTAGCAGTTATGGCATGGGGCATGTTGTGCTCAGTGGGTTCGATGGTGTTCGGGAAAATGGGTGTCGGATACTCATGTTCGTGTTTGTGTTTAGAGGGCCTGTGATTGTGCAGTCTGTCGAGCGCTTGTGCACGTGCGTCCGATGTAGTACCGTCGGTGTTCGTGTACTTGCGGATGTCGCCAGTCAGGTGTTCTTCGTTCGCTCGACTGCAAGTGTATGACGTCTGGCGCGATGACCTCGGGCTGACCGGAAGCTGGGCTTCCAAGAGCGTTTTGGAATCAGTTTGTTGTGATAATTGCGGCCGTTGCATGTATGTCGAGTGGGTGTGTGTTTGGACAGCAGGGGATATGAGTGCGGCGCTGACCACCGCAGGCCGTTCAGCACTGGACTCCGAATGTGTGGGAGTGATTGTGTCTGCTCGTTGCTCGTGCATATCGCGTGCGTTTCGTCGATCGTATGCGGGCTGCGGCTGGATTTGTGTGTCGGTGCTTGTTTTCGAGTTGCGTTTCATTTCGTCGTTGGTAGCAGTTATGGCATGGGGCATGTTGTGCTCAGTGGGTTCGATGGTGTTCGGGAAAATGGGTGTCGGATACTCATGTTCGTGTTTGTGTTTAGAGGGCCTGTGATTGTGCAGTCTGTCGAGCGCTTGTGCACGTGCGTCCGATGTAGTACCGTCGGTGTTCGTGTACTTGCGGATGTCGCCGGTCAGTTGTTCTTCGTTCGCTCGACTGCAAGTGTATGACGTCTGGCGCGATGACCTCGGGCTGGCCGGAAGCTGGGCTTCCAAGAGCGTGTTGGAATCAGTTTGTTTTGAGACTTCCGGCCGTTGCATGTATGTCGAGTGGGTGTGTGTTTGGACAGCAGGGGATATGCGTGAGGCACTGACCACTGCAGGCCGTTCAGCACTGGAATCCGAATGTGTGGGAGTGATTGTGTGTGTTTCTTGTTCGTGCGCATCGCGTGCGTTTATTCGATCGTGTGCGGGCTGCGGCTGGATTTGTGTGTCGGTGCTTGTTTTCGAGTTGCGTTTCATTTCGTCGTTGGTAGCAGTTATGGCATGGGGCATGTTGTGCTCAGTGGGTTCGATGGTGTTCGGGAAAATGGGTGTCGGATACTCATGTTCGTGTTTGTGTTTAGAGGGCCTGTGAGTGTGCAGTCTGTCGAGCGCTTGTGCACGTGCGTCCGATGTATTACCGTCGGTGTTCGTGTACTTGCGGATGTCGCCAGTCAGGTGTTCTTCGTTCGCTCGACTGCATGTGTGTGAGATGTGGGGCGATGACTTAGGCTGACCGGAAGCTGGGCTTCCAAGAGCGTGTTGGAATCAGTTTGTTTTGAGACTTCCGGCCGTTGCATGTATGTCGAGTGGGTGTGTGTTTGGACAGCAGGGGATATGCGTGAGGCACTGACCACTGCAGGCCGTTCAGCACTGGAATCCGAATGTGTGGGAGTGATTGTGTGTGTTTCTTGTTCGTGCGCATCGCGTGCGTTTATTCGATCGTATGCGGGCTGCGGCTGGATTTGTGTGTCGGTGCTTGTTTTCGAGTTGCGTTTCATTTCGTCGTTGGTAGCAGTTATGGCATGGGGCATGTTGTGCTCAGTGGGTTCGATGGTGTTCGGGAAAATGGGTGTCGGATACTCATGTTCGTGTTTGTGTTTAGAGGGCCTGTGAGTGTGCAGTCTGTCGAGCGCTTGTGCACGTGCGTCCGATGTATTACCGTCGGTGTTCGTGTACTTGCGGATGTCGCCGGTCAGGTGTTCTTCGTTCGCTCGACTGCAAGTGTATGACGTCTGGCGCGATGACCTCGGGCTGGCCGGAAGCTGGGCTTCCAAGAGCGTGTTGGAATCAGTTTGTTTTGAGACTTCCGGCCGTTGCATGTATGTCGAGTGGGTGTGTGTTTGGACAGCAGGGGATATGCGTGAGGCACTGACCACTGCAGGCCGTTCAGCACTGGACTCCGAATGTGTGGGAGTGATTGTGTGTGTTTCTTGTTCGTGCGCATCGCGTGCGTTTATTCGATCGTATGCGGGCTGCGGCTGGATTTGTGTGTCGGTGCTTGTTTTCGAGTTGCGTTTCATTTCGTCGTTGGTAGCAGTTATGGCATGGGGCATGTTGTGCTCAGTGGGTTCGATGGTGTTCGGGAAAATGGGTGTCGGATACTCATGTTCGTGTTTGTGTTTAGAGGGCCTGTGAGTGTGCAGTCTGTCGAGCGCTTGTGCACGTGCGTCCGATGTATTACCGTCGGTGTTCGTGTACTTGCGGATGTCGCCGGTCAGTTGTTCTTCGTTCGCTCGACTGCAAGTGTATGACGTCTGGCGCGATGACCTCGGGCTGGCCGGAAGCTGGGCTTCCAAGAGCGTGTTGGAATCAGTTTGTTTTGAGACTTCCGGCCGTTGCATGTATGTCGAGTGGGTGTGTGTTTGGACAGCAGGGGATATGCGTGAGGCACTGACCACTGCAGGCCGTTCAGCACTGGAATCCGAATGTGTGGGAGTGATTGTGTGTGTTTCTTGTTCGTGCGCATCGCGTGCGTTTATTCGATCGTATGCGGGCTGCGGCTGGATTTGTGTGTCGGTGCTTGTTTTCGAGTTGCGTTTCATTTCGTCGTTGGTAGCAGTTATGGCATGGGGCATGTTGTGCTCAGTGGGTTCGATGGTGTTCGGGAAAATGGGTGTCGGATACTCATGTTCGTGTTTGTGTTTAGAGGGCCTGTGAGTGTGCAGTCTGTCGAGCGCTTGTGCACGTGCGTCCGATGTATTACCGTCGGTGTTCGTGTACTTGCGGATGTCGCCAGTCAGTTGTTCTTCGTTCGCTCGACTGCATGTGTGTGAGATGTGGGGCGATGACTTTGGGCTGGCCGGATGCTGGGCCCCCAAGAGCGTGTTGGAATCAGTTTGTTTTGAGACTTCCGGCCGTTGCATGTATGTCGAGTGGGTGTGTGTTTGGACAGCAGGGGATATGCGTGAGGCACTGACCACTGCAGGCCGTTCAGCACTGGAATCCGAATGTGTGGGAGTGATTGTGTGTGTTTCTTGTTCGTGCGCATCGCGTGCGTTTATTCGATCGTATGCGGGCTGCGGCTGGATTTGTGTGTCGGTGCTTGTTTTCGAGTTGCGTTTCATTTCGTCGTTGGTAGCAGTTATGGCATGGGGCATGTTGTGCTCTGTGGGTTCGATGGTGTTCGGGAAAATGGGTGTCGGATACTCATGTTCGTGTTTGTGTTTAGAGGGCCTGTGAGTGTGCAGTCTGTCGAGCGCTTGTGCACGTGCGTCCGATGTATTACCGTCGGTGTTCGTGTACTTGCGGATGTCGCCGGTCAGGTGTTCTTCGTTCGCTCGACTGCAAGTGTATGACGTCTGGCGCGATGACCTCGGGCTGGCCGGAAGCTGGGCTTCCAAGAGCGTGTTGGAATCAGTTTGTTTTGAGACTTCCGGCCGTTGCATGTATGTCGAGTGGGTGTGTGTTTGGACAGCAGGGGATATGCGTGAGGCACTGACCACTGCAGGCCGTTCAGCACTGGAATCCGAATGTGTGGGAGTGATTGTGTGTGTTTCTTGTTCGTGCGCATCGCGTGCGTTTATTCGATCGTATGCGGGCTGCGGCTGGATTTGTGTGTCGGTGCTTGTTTTCGAGTTGCGTTTCATTTCGTCGTTGGTAGCAGTTATGGCATGGGGCATGTTGTGCTCAGTGGGTTCGATGGTGTTCGGGAAAATGGGTGTCGGATACTCATGTTCGTGTTTGTGTTTAGAGGGCCTGTGATTGTGCAGTCTGTCGAGCGCTTGTGCACGTGCGTCCGATGTATTACCGTCGGTGTTCGTGTACTTGCGGATGTCGCCGGTCAGTTGTTCTTCTTTTGTTCGACTGCATGTGTGTGAGATTTGGGGCGATGACTTTGGGCTGGCCGGATGGTGGGCCCCCAAGAGCGTGTTGGAATCAGTTTGTTTTGAGACTTCCGGCCGTTGCATGTATGTCGAGTGGGTGTGTGTTTGGACAGCAGGGGATATGCGTGAGGCACTGACCACTGCAGGCCGTTCAGCACTGGAATCCGAATGTGTGGGAGTGATTGTGTGTGTTTCTTGTTCGTGCGCATCGCGTGCGTTTATTCGATCGTATGCGGGCTGCGGCTGGATTTGTGTGTCGGTGCTTGTTTTCGAGTTGCGTTTCATTTCGTCGTTGGTAGCAGTTATGGCATGGGGCATGTTGTGCTCAGTGGGTTCGATGGTGTTCGGGAAAATGGGTGTCGGATACTCATGTTCGTGTTTGTGTTTAGAGGGCCTGTGAGTGTGCAGTCTGTCGAGCGCTTGTGCACGTGCGTCCGATGTATTACCGTCGGTGTTCGTGTACTTGCGGATGTCGCCGGTCAGGTGTTCTTCGTTCGCTCGACTGCAAGTGTATGACGTCTGGCGCGATGACCTCGGGCTGGCCGGAAGCTGGGCTTCCAAGAGCGTGTTGGAATCAGTTTGTTTTGAGACTTCCGGCCGTTGCATGTATGTCGAGTGGGTGTGTGTTTGGACAGCAGGGGATATGCGTGAGGCACTGACCACTGCAGGCCGTTCAGCACTGGAATCCGAATGTGTGGGAGTGATTGTGTGTGTTTCTTGTTCGTGCGCATCGCGTGCGTTTATTCGATCGTATGCGGGCTGCGGCTGGATTTGTGTGTCGGTGCTTGTTTTCGAGTTGCGTTTCATTTCGTCGTTGGTAGCAGTTATGGCATGGGGCATGTTGTGCTCAGTGGGTTCGATGGTGTTCGGGAAAATGGGTGTCGGATACTCATGTTCGTGTTTGTGTTTAGAGGGCCTGTGAGTGTGCAGTCTGTCGAGCGCTTGTGCACGTGCGTCCGATGTATTACCGTCGGTGTTCGTGTACTTGCGGATGTCGCCGGTCAGGTGTTCTTCGTTCGCTCGACTGCAAGTGTATGACGTCTGGCGCGATGACCTCGGGCTGGCCGGAAGCTGGGCTTCCAAGAGCGTGTTGGAGTCAGTTTGTTTTGAGACTTCCGGCCGTTGCATGTATGTCGAGTGGGTGTGTGTTTGGACAGCAGGGGATATGCGTGAAGCACTGACCACTGCAGGCCGTTCAGCACTGGAATCCGAATGTGTGGGAGTGATTGTGTGTGTTTCTTGTTCGTGCGCATCGCGTGCGTTTATTCGATCGTATGCGGGCTGCGGCTGGATTTGTGTGTCGGTGCTTGTTTTCGAGTTGCGTTTCATTTCGTCGTTGGTAGCAGTTATGGCATGGGGCATGTTGTGCTCAGTGGGTTCGATGGTGTTCGGGAAAATGGGTGTCGGATACTCATGTTCGTGTTTGTGTTTAGAGGGCCTGTGAGTGTGCAGTCTGTCGAGCGCTTGTGCACGTGCGTCCGATGTATTACCGTCGGTGTTCGTGTACTTGCGGATGTCGCCGGTCAGTTGTTCTTCGTTTGTTCGACTGCATGTGTGTGAGATCTGGGGCGATGACTTTGGGCTGGCCGGATGGTGGGCCCCCAAGTGCGTGTTGGAATCGGTTTGTTGCGATCCTTGCGGCCGTTGCATGTATGTCGAGTGGGTGTGCGTTTGGACAGCAGAGGATATGCGTGAGGCACTGACCACTGCAGGCCGTTCAGCACTGGAATCCGAATGTGTGGGAGTGATTGTGTGTGTTTCTTGTTCGTGCGCATCGCGTGCGTTTATTCGATCGTATGCGGGCTGCGGCTGGATTTGTGTGTCGGTGCTTGTTTTCGAGTTGCGTTTCATTTCGTCGTTGGTAGCAGTTATGGCATGGGGCATGTTGTGCTCAGTGGGTTCGATGGTGTTCGGGAAAATGGGTGTCGGATACTCATGTTCGTGTTTGTGTTTAGAGGGCCTGTGAGTGTGCAGTCTGTCGAGCGCTTGTGCACGTGCGTCCGATGTATTACCGTCGGTGTTCGTGTACTTGCGGATGTCGCCGGTCAGGTGTTCTTCGTTCGCTCGACTGCAAGTGTATGACGTCTGGCGCGATGACCTCGGGCTGGCCGGAAGCTGGGCTTCCAAGAGCGTGTTGGAATCAGTTTGTTTTGAGACTTCCGGCCGTTGCATGTATGTCGAGTGGGTGTGTGTTTGGACAGCAGGGGATATGCGTGAAGCACTGACCACTGCAGGCCGTTCAGCACTGGAATCCGAATGTGTGGGAGTGATTGTGTGTGTTTCTTGTTCGTGCGCATCGCGTGCGTTTATTCGATCGTATGCGGGCTGCGGCTGGATTTGTGTGTCGGTGCTTGTTTTCGAGTTGCGTTTCATTTCGTCGTTGGTAGCAGTTATGGCATGGGGCATGTTGTGCTCAGTGGGTTCGATGGTGTTCGGGAAAATGGGTGTCGGATACTCATGTTCGTGTTTGTGTTTAGAGGGCCTGTGAGTGTGCAGTCTGTCGAGCGCTTGTGCACGTGCGTCCGATGTATTACCGTCGGTGTTCGTGTACTTGCGGATGTCGCCGGTCAGTTGTTCTTCGTTCGCTCGACTGCAAGTGTATGACGTCTGGCGCGATGACCTCGGGCTGGCCGGAAGCTGGGCTTCCAAGAGCGTGTTGGAATCAGTTTGTTTTGAGACTTCCGGCCGTTGCATGTATGTCGAGTGGGTGTGTGTTTGGACAGCAGGGGATATGCGTGAGGCACTGACCACTGCAGGCCGTTCAGCACTGGAATCCGAATGTGTGGGAGTGATTGTGTGTGTTTCTTGTTCGTGCGCATCGCGTGCGTTTATTCGATCGTATGCGGGCTGCGGCTGGATTTGTGTGTCGGTGCTTGTTTTCGAGTTGCGTTTCATTTCGTCGTTGGTAGCAGTTATGGCATGGGGCATGTTGTGCTCAGTGGGTTCGATGGTGTTCGGGAAAATGGGTGTCGGATACTCATGTTCGTGTTTGTGTTTAGAGGGCCTGTGAGTGTGCAGTCTGTCGAGTGCTTGTGCACGTGCGTCCGATGTATTACCGTCGGTGTTCGTGTACTTGCGGATGTCGCCAGTCAGGTGTTCTTCGTTCGCTCGACTGCAAGTGTATGACGTCTGGCGCGATGACCTCGGGCTGGCCGGAAGCTGGGCTTCCAAGAGCGTGTTGGAATCAGTTTGTTTTGAGACTTCCGGCCGTTGCATGTATGTCGAGTGGGTGTGTGTTTGGACAGCAGGGGATATGCGTGAGGCACTGACCACTGCAGGCCGTTCAGCACTGGAATCCGAATGTGTGGGAGTGATTGTGTGTGTTTCTTGTTCGTGCGCATCGCGTGCGTTTATTCGATCGTATGCGGGCTGCGGCTGGATTTGTGTGTCGGTGCTTGTTTTCGAGTTGCGTTTCATTTCGTCGTTGGTAGCAGTTATGGCATGGGGCATGTTGTGCTCAGTTGGTTTGATGGTGTTTGTGACAGTGAATGTCGCACTGTCACGCTCGTGCTCGTGATTCGAGAGCATGTGTGTGTGCAGTCTGTCGAGCGCTTGTGCACGTGCGTCCGATGTATTACCGTCGGTGTTCGTGTACTTGCGGATGTCGCCGGTCAGGTGTTCTTCGTTCGCTCGACTGCCTGTGTGTGAGGTCCGGGGCGATGACTTTGAGCTTGCCGGATGCTGGGCTTCCAAGAGCGTGTTGGAATCAATTTGTTTTGAGACTTTCGGCTGTTGCGTATATGTCGAGTGGGTGCGTGTTTGGACAGCAGGGGATATGAGCGCGGCGCTGACATCCGCAGTCCGTTCAGCACTGGAATCCGAATGTGTGGGAGTGATTGTGTGTGTTTCTTGTTCGTGCGCATCGCGTGCGTTTATTCGATCGTATGCGGGCTGCGGCTGGATTTGTGTGTCGGTGCTTGTTTTCGAGTTGCGTTTCATTTCGTCGTTGGTAGCAGTTATGGCATGGGGCATGTTGTGCTCAGTGGGTTCGATGGTGTTCGGGAAAATGGGTGTCGGATACTCATGTTCGTGTTTGTGTTTAGAGGGCCTGTGAGTGTGCAGTCTGTCGAACGCTTGTGCACGTGCGTCCGATGTATTACCGTCGGTGTTCGTGTACTTGCGGATGTCGCCGGTCAGGTGTTCTTCGTTCGCTCGACTGCCTGTGTGTGAGGTCCGGGGCGAAGACTTTGGGCTGGCCGGATGGTGGGCCCCCAAGAGCGTGTTGGAATCGGTTTGTTGCGATCCTTGCGGCCGTTGCATGTATGTCGAGTGGGTGTGTGTTTGGACAGCAGGGGATATGCGTGAGGCACTGACCACTGCAGGCCGTTCAGCACTGGAATCCGAATGTGTGGGAGTGATTGTGTGTGTTTCTTGTTCGTGCGCATCGCGTGCGTTTATTCGATCGTATACGGACTGCGGCTGGATTTGTGTGTCAATGCTCGTGTTCGAATCTCTTGTGTTTTCGTCTTTGTTGCGTTGTTTTCCTTTCTGTCTACTGCTGTCGCATATTTCTGCTTGGTTATTTTCGGTCCTGTTGTTAAATTTTTGCGTTTCTTTATTTTTCTCTCTCCAGCTTATCTCGTTTTTCCAATTTCTCTCCGTTTTCTCTTTTGCTGTGTCTGCGTTTTCCTCTTTCTTCTCATTTATCTGCTCTTTACTCCCGCATTGCTTGCGGTTTTTACTCTTCTCCTCATTTTCGCTGTTCTTTACGTTTGTATTTCTGTGAGTGTTTTCAGGTTTTTGGTTTTTTACTAATATATCTGTTTTTGTTTCTTTCCGTTCTTCATTTGTGCCTATTTTGTTTATGTTTTGTTCTTTGATCGTGTTGTCTTTTTGTAGTTTTATTTTCTTTTGACCATTTTCTTTCTTTATATCTTGCTCGCCCCTGTCATCTTTGTTTACGTTGTGTGTTTCTATTTCACTTTTACTTATCCTTGCTATACTGTCTGTCTGCTTTATATTTAGGCTGCATTTCTTTTCTTTTCGAATTTCATATAAATAGAATTGGTTTACCTTTTCGTCAATTTGTTCTCTTTTGTACATGGTTGCTTTTCGATCTTCAGACTTTTCCCTGTTTTCTTTTAACATCTGCTTCGAATTTCCGTTTCCCCCTTTTAATCCTTTGGTGGAGTTGCTTCTTTTATCACCGTTTTTTTTCTTTGCTATATCACGCAGTATTTCGTCCATTATCTCTCCCAGCTTATGAGGTCTGTTCATTACACTCTCGTCAGGTTTTCTGCCGTCCATTTTGTCCACTGTGTGCGTTGATACAGTAAATTTTCCTCCGTCTCTGTATCCTGATTCTGCTGACAGTATTTTTGCAGCATATTCGAATTCGTTTAACGCACTTTGTGTCCGAAGCGCTTTACCTAGTGTACGGCGTGATATTACACTTGTGACACCATTCCCTATATGCTGTCCGCTGAAACCCACTGTATGGAAACCATTGTTCCATGCATTCTGTGCTACTGGGGCCTGTATCGGGAATAATCCTCCCGTCCGTCTTGATTTTGCTGTTGCTTGCTTGCGGCTTTCGTTTTCATTTTTTAAAAGCTTACCTTCTGGTGTTTGAGATGTTGTTACTTTCTCCGGGGTACCTGCTCCCTGGGTGGGACTGTAAATGGCCTGTGGATGAGGAAACAATATTCTGCCACTTCTCGAACCCATTTCTTCCGACAAATCGATCGATCGCCTCCATTTTGTTAATTTCTTCTCATGCAATCTATCCGCGTGATGGAAACCCCCAGATACCTTGACTAGCCGGTGGGGTTCTTTTGGTTTTTCATGGCTTTCTTGATGCTCTAATGTCGATTCTCCGTGAGCTGGATTTCTGTCGGTCAAACGCTTCGGACTACACCCCGTCGGACTGCAACACATAGCCAGCCTCTTCGATTCATTCAAAGCGATTGGGTTTTCATCCAGCGGCCCCTGAGTTACGCTTATCCATGAGGAGTTCACATGTAACTGGGATGCGAAAACGGCCGTACCGAAGGCAGTCACCGAAACACTGGGTTTTTGTTGTAAAGTTACGGCTGGGGTGGAGGCATGGCGGTTAATTGGCATTTTTCAACCATGGTCTTGGTAATTTGTCGCGCGAATTACGTCCACGCTGTAGGCATCCCTTCAACTGAACGCTTCGATCAGCTGTATCTGCGGTCACGTGATGAGTTCGGTCAATACAATTGTGAATTACTAATGGCGTATTGCAGTTGTTTGGATAGCGCAACGTTTTACAAAGCTTCCAACTGGACTTGGCTTTTCGGCCGAATGCAAGACTCCGCTCTGATGCACAAGAGAGCTTTTTTGTTTGGCAAAACCTTGGCGCTCACTGCACTGTAGAAGGAATAAAATGGAATCCCGTTTTATCAATGATGGAACGTACACAAGTAGCAACCAGTGATGAAATTATTAGACAACAGACACTATTTTCCGGAGGGTTTCCAGTGGGTATTCCACCCAAACAGGTTACAGAACAAACTCACAACTTTCTTCTCTTATGATTGGTTTTTATGTCACGGAATAAATAGTGGCTTTTTCTCTCTCATTGCAGTAATTGTGGCACCACTGATGAACCATTAAAATAGGCAGGGTAGGACAAAGATTACCAGTCGTCTCGATGAATTCAGACTTATGTTCTCAACTCAGACGTTAACTGTTCTGTGCTAAATTTATCCAAGGTGTGAACTAGGATTTACTGCATATGTGTGCTCACCAACTTTTGCCTTCATGTTCGAATGCTATGACTACATATAATACCTTCCGGTTCGATGAGGTCTGCGAGCAGACGATAACTAATATGGCCAGTTGGAACAGCAAAGTTCACTGAAATATGTATCAAGTTATGATGCTGCGCGCCCCATCCACTATCCTGGTACAAGCCAGTGGGTGCAAAGGATCCCGGGTTGAAGTTCCTGGAGAGACCTACTAAACACAGTTGTCACTCTTTCACAACTGTGTAGGCCAATCTGAAATAAAAGTCAACAATTGTTCACAGTTATCCGGGGGTTGATTGCAACTTGGATTCTCTTGCATGGGGTGTATTACATGAAAATGTAAAATTTTGGCCTTGGTGTGAACGAAAACACTCTTGTTGGTACCATCATCAGCAACAGCAGTACGTCGGCCATTTAAACTGATGCTTCGCTGCCGTATAACCACGGGGATCTGCAGAAAGAAGAACTATAAGTGAAAGTTGGTCTTAGGGTAAACTTCTACTACCCTAAACACACTTTCAGGGTCGAGACGCCTACACTTTGTCAACAACATGCCATCACAAACACCTGGCTATCATTCAAAGATAAGGCGACATCCGCGAGACAGTTTCGTCGCGGCTTTCCCTGTCCTGGGTCATAATCAGCCATTACCACGCAGATAAGTCAGCACCAAGCACACCTTAAACAGTCAATCCGGTTAGCAGACGACAGCAGACACGCCACTGGTGTCGACTGAGAGCCATGTTCTGTAACGTCTCAACCAAGCACAAGGCGGGCCATGTGGACTCCAATCTGGAAGGCGAGACGGACTGAGGGCATCGAGTTGGGTCATCATTGACTTCATTTCCCCGCTGCCAAGTTAATTTTTGCCCATATCCGGCCTTGCGGCCCCCTACATCTGGCAAACAATACAAGGCCCTCCTCGGTACGCGGTGACCAGGCATAGGCAGTATGCCCCCAAGCCAACGCAGCTTAATCAGTGCTACCTGTTGCTTTACGAACTAGCTTGTTTATCACTCCCTAGCACTCGCCTACACACATCATCGTAGCGGACACGCTGGTGTCACCCGACAGCAGCAATGCTTCGCAGACAACGATGCTCGAAGACTTGAAGGCGTCCCGGGTCCGCACATCGGAGGGGCCAACTTTCACTTCCATAGATTAGGGTGGCCCTCATTTTGTCCTTATAAACACTGTCTTTCAGACGGAGGGGAACTCCATTCTTTGCCAAAGGTGTCACAGATTCAAGAAGGCAGTTCTAACTTATGCAATACGTGAACTGACTTCAGCAGGTATGCGTTCATCGTTGATGGTGCGGCTGCCAACGTGAGTGAATTGATCAAGTGACCATCAAGTAGCTGGTAGTCCTGCACCAAAACTTTACATTTTGAGGGTGTGAAGGTGTGAAGAGTATGCAAAATGATGAGACCAGTCTTGAGAGTGGATTCATAGGGTTACTGAGCCACTTCAACATCATCATCATCATTACACGTTAGCTGCAGGTGGAAAACATCTCAGCTATTGTGCCGCAATACAGAAGACAAGAAAAGGAAAACAAACAGTGACACGCCGGCTGAGTCCCCAGTAACGGATGGACATCGTTCCGGGGTGCTAACAGATGGCTGCCGTAAAAAAGAGTCATATTATGCCTAACAAGTGAGATCGTGATTGGAGGGGGGCGCCAAGCAGGAGGGGGATAGACAAAGGAACTCACAACACAAACGCCATTGGGGCCGGCTCCAAGCCATATCAGCAAGTGTGTCTAACCAAACGTGTTCACCGTCCTTAAGACCCCAGCCAGGCTGTCGGGATGCACCAACTGACGCCAACTTCGAAGTGTGGATTTTCATTTCTCTCGACCAAGTCATCACTTGGCCTCCCCTCCTCCTCTTCCAACCGCACTCACAACGCGCAAACAATGCACGTCGCGGGAGTCGGTGTGCTGACATGCGCAACACGTGGCCCAGCCATCGGAGCCTGGTGCGTGATATAATGGTGCTGAGCGGTCCATTCGCTGTTTCTGCACCAAATACGCGACGTCGAACGCGCTCATTGCTCACGCGGTGTTCCCACCAGACATGAGCTAAGCTACGAAAGCAGCGATGATCGAATGTGACGTGCCTCTTCATGTCTTTCGACCTGATGGGCCAGGTTTCACAGCCATAGAGGAGAGTTGAACGGACGACTGCGTTGTAAACTCTGCCCTTCAGGGCGAGAGTAATGTCGCGTCTGCGCCACAGGTGGTGGAGATTGGCAAAAGCACCTCGAGCTTTTGCTATACGGTTCGTAACCTCATCTTCAATCTCACGGGTGCTAATATAGCTGCCCAGGTACTTGAATTCCTGAACGGCTTCTAGCAGATCACCACCAAGCGTTATCGCAGGGTTGGGTCCTTGCCAATCTTGGAGAAGTACTTTGCATTTCGATGGAGCAAAGCATAGCCCAAAACGATTGACAGCCAGTGCTAATCGATCCAGTGCTGTTTGGCATGTATGGGAGCTGTCACAGACTAGGGCAATGTCGTCCGCATACTCCAAGTCAAGAAGTCGCTCACCAGGGAGTAGATCCACACCTTCTATGTCGTGTCCAGCGAACGCTGTTTCCATGACTTCATCAATAGCGAAGTTGAAGAGGAAAGGTGAGAGCGGGCATCCTTGTCTCACACCGCTGGTGATACTGAAGGGTGGCGAGAGTTTGCCATAAACCCTCACCCTGCCCGAACTATGTGCGTACAGCGCATTGATAATGTTTACATATTTATCAGGCACACCTTTTCTCAACAGACAGTCCCGAAGGGCACATCGATCGACTGAGTCGAAGGCACCTTTTATGTCAAGAAACACGACAACGGTGGGTCGCCAATAAACATGGCGGTGCTCCAACACTTGACGCAATGTGAAGATGTGGTCCATGCAGCCCCGACCTCGACGAAATCCGGCTTGCTCTTCACGAATCTGGCTTTCACGAGTGCCAGTCAGTCTGTGGAGAATGACAGAGGCAAGCAATTTAGAGGCAATCGAAATCAGACTGATCCCTCTATGATTGCTGCATTCTAAACGGGAGCCTCCCTTGAAAATTGGGCCAATGACGGAGCGGTTCCAGTCTGTCGGGACTGTCTCCTGCTCCCAAAGTTTTACTAGCAACTCGTGGATATCATCTATTAGAGCAGGTCCCTCGAATTTGAAGAGGGCTGAGGGAATTCTACCTGCCCCTGCGGCCTTATGCAATTTCAGCAGCCTGATCTCACGTTTGACTTCTGCGCGTGATGGCGGATCCAAGGAGACGGCCCATGGAGAAGGGCGCTCAATGCCCGAAGAAGAAAGCGATAACTCAGGTTGGTTGAATTGCCTCTCAAAGTGTTCAGTCCAACGCTCCAAGCGTTTTGACAGGCTGTGGATCGGCTGCCCACTCTCGTCGCGTATGGTCTCGCTAACACCAGGTCTCCTGCTGCCTGTTTCCCGTATCAGACGGAATAACTTACGATGATTACCAACAGCAGCGGCTGTTTCCATCTCAGAGGCACGATGAGACCACCAGGTTTCGCGGTCCTTCTTTAGGCTAACACATAGTTTTGTCCTGAGATTTTTGTGAGCCTCATTGTATTTGCTTCCAGCCGGAATACGTCGGCGAGCATCCATAAGTTCCAGAGACTGCGTAGAGACCCAATGTCCGGTTTGGCAATTTGCTTTGCCACATGAAGACATGCCTGCTAACAGCAACGCTTGATGAATATGCGACCAGTGATCTTCAACGGTGTTTAGTGGGCGCTTACTCAGCCCAGATGTCAGCGCACTTTGATACACATTCAGAACATCTGGCTTCGCAGCTGGCTTGTGTCAATCCGTTCACATGGACGTTGCGGACGTCCACCGAAACGCACTAGGAGGTCGGCACAGACAAGTGCGTGGTCAGAGTCCACGCTCGTGCTCCAAATCGAGCGACAGTTTTGGACACAGCCTCTCCAGCGGTAACTGATCGCGATATGATCGGTTTGAGTCCATGACTGGCCCGAGGCTGGTGGCCGCCAAGTCACACTTCTGCGGGTGCTGTGTTGAAAGTTAGTGCTCGCGAGAAAGAGGCGAGGATATTCACACAGCCGTAGCAATCGCTCACCATTATCATTACGGGAGCCTACACCACGTTAGCCGCCCAAATGAAGCTCATCAAAGGACAATTTTCCGACTTGGGCGTTTAGATCACCAGCCAACACCACAGTATCCGTGCTTCTTCTGTAACGAAGGAGCTCGTGCAGTTGCTGATAGAAATCATCTTTTGCCGAATCAGTGCTACAGTTTGTAGGGGCGTAGGCCACAATGACAGACAGGCGCCGTTTGTCCCCGCGCGACATCGTAGCACGGAACGAACCAGCTAATCTAACGGCGCACATCCCACTGCTTACTGGGATCCAATCAATCAGGGCAGCTTCAGCCCGGGGACTCAAAACAATGCCGACGCCAGCTTGACCGGCATTTGAAGCTGCATCATCGCCAGACAGGCGCAATTAGAATGTGTCGCCAGTGTCGCATGTAGGGGAACTCAGGGTAAGCACGGAGCTCGAACCTTGCAGGCGGGTTTCTGATAAACAGCAAACATCGATCGATAGGATCTCTAGTGTGCGGGCAATTGCTGCTTGTTGGCCAGTTTGCAGTAAGGGGCGCACGTTGAGGCATGCCAGTCTTAGCGAGACACGATGACTCCAAAGGGAAACGGATGAACTGACGTTGTCCGCTTGGTTGAACATGGACTTGTCGACTGGATTGGAGCGAGGGCTTGCGATTGTGTGTGATTAGAAATTAGAAGACAAGCGACTATTGAAGTAAGCTGGGGGAGG